AACAAATGCTAGTAACAAGAACTGGTATTTGCAGTCAAGCTTCTCATTGCCCTCAGAATGGCCCATGCTTATATAGACATTTAAACTACAGTAATATGGGCTTTGCAAAGCACTTTACATAGTGTATCTCATTCACCTTTATACCAAACATGTATGCACATTCTATTTATTCACTACTTTCTTCTCTCAGTCACATACTGATAAGCATGGCGGCAYGACGGCTCAGTGGTTAGAACTGACACTTCACAGCAAGAAGGTCCTGAGTTCGATCCCTGGTTCGGACCTGGGGTCTTTCTGTGTGAAATTTGCATGTTCTCCTCGTGCTTGCATGGGTTTTTTCCCAATATTCTGGTTTCCCCCACCCACAAAAACATGTACAATAGGTTGCCTTCAGGCCCAGGCCTCCCTTGAAAAAGAGACCTGAGATTTCAACAGGACTTGYCTGGTTAAATAACGGTAAATAAATAAAAATGTTGGAGCCAACTGGGAACCTAAAAACCCTTTAACACGTGTCAAGGCTGGAGATGAACCCAGTCATGCCAGGACATACCTCATCAAAGTAACAAAGGAAACTGATAAACATAAAATGCTAAGGTAATAAACAAAGAGAAGTGTTTCCAGTGAGAAAAAAATAGGCTTTTAGGGATGCTTGAATGTAAGGGTGTTCCACTGACCACTTGTGACGGAATGGCTGAGTAGGAGGAAGAAACAGAAGACCAGAGAGCCYATAAAATTGTCATGGGGACTTGGCTGTGGATTTGAATACTGGATGCTTTATTAGCCAAAGAAAGAACAGAAAAGGAAAGATTCAAGGTAGAGACAGACTACTGTGTTAAAAAAGAGAAAGTATAGACATAGATGTGTTTGGCAATGGATGTGCCAGGACACTCCCAGTACAATAAGTAAAATATCATATTATGCTATTATTATTTTAAATTTGCACAGAATTTATTGGTTCACTGAAAATTGTATGTGCTATTAATGTGTCAAATGAATGCAGTCCATGTACCATTCCTTTTACCTTTCATATGCTGATTTAAAAAGGGTTATCATTGGTGAAATACTGGTTACTAAATAGTGCGTGTTTTCCCATGAGAAGTAGTTTACTGCTAGCTCTTCACCTGGCAAAGCTTGTGGTGAATCACCCACTGACCCAGAAAACCGCCCCACTGGCAAATCCACCATTGGCTCCAAGGAGCCCCCCTTTCACTGTGCCATGACAAGGACAAATTGCATCTACCGCCCCTTCCACAAAAAGATTTTTTGGGGGCCTTAAGCTGGTGGAGCTTCTTGCATGGTAGTGTAGGAAGGAAAGAGATGTGAGGGTGGAATGATCTGATGTGTTTAGTTGGAGCTGAGGTGAATTGACAAGCAGTAACTTGAACTTGTGTCTTTAAATCCCTTGAAAATGTTCCCAAGGAAGAAATGGACAAGGACAGGCCTGGCGTTTTTAGGAAGTGTCCAATATTATCTACAAATAGGTTCAAGAAATCACATTCATGGTGTTTACTTTTGCTAGAAGAATCTGAACTGGCTATGGCTCACCTTGGAARACTTTAAATGTTTTTAGAGTGTTGTTGTCTAATGAAAACCTTAAGGATAAACTTTAGTTACGTCATTCTACTTCATCCCTCCAAAACATATTGTTTTCTGCCATGTGTCTGCCATGATGTCAGACTGTAACACATTCTTATCTGCACTTCAACCCTGAGGTAGTAAATGCACTGAGATTTGTATGGTCATTTTGTACATCTCCCTAATTTGCTTGATGAGGCTCAGCTGTGCACCTTGTGGTGTGAAGACCAGGGCTCAGAAGAGGAATACAATCCCACAATACAACACTGGATCTGTATGAACCTTTGAAACCTGTTTGAACCTCGCTTTTGGTGGATCCCATCATTCTAATAAAAACCTGAACTGAAAACTGTGGATTAGAGGCACTGCCAACAGCAGTAAGGAATGGAGCTGCTGAGGTGTGGAATGTGGAAACCACCCTCACAATGTTGCTGTTGGACCAGCATTCTGGCAGGTGAGCTGGCTGTATTGTTGTTTCTCTTGTCCACAAAAACAGTTCAAGGAGCCAYTGTGTTACAGTTTTCATTGGCTAAGTCTGTCATAGTGGAACTTTTACTTTTCCAAAAATCTGCTAGCTCCCAACACAGATAAAATGCTAATTGACTCATGATGTCATCTACCGACAATGTTAGTTTGAAAGACTGTGTATAAAATCTGCTAAACACATTTATGATGGAAATAATTTAAACATTAAATGGTGAACTATAAACATAAATAAYCTAATTTATTTTGTATGAAGTGAACTTTGAACTAGTTCTTCTGCATAGTTAAAGGCACAGTGTGCAGGATTTGTTGTTTTCAGTGACATCTAGTGGTTGAGTGGTTGAATCATCCTCCCTGGTCCTCCCCCCACCCCCCGCTTCCAAAAGCAAAGGAGTTGCTACGGTGTCTCTCAGGTGTCAAAAACCTTTTGATAATTCCAATCGCGATGTCTACCAGCAGCTTCAGGGCTAGTGATATTTCAAGTTGTAAGATTGAGTTTTAATATGTAAAATTATCCCAGCTACAATGACAGACAACAAATATTACATTTATAGTATTACAACTAAAACCATTTTGACGCCGCCACCGCAGTTTGTCCTTCATGAGCCTTCGTAGACAAGATGGTGGCTGCCTGTAGTGGCGACCCGTGACCATGGAGATGTAAAACAGCTTTTTATAAGGTAAAAATAATAAAACAAGGTCTTTGTCTGCAATGATTAGACATGTTTTTTTATTATTGTCATTAGTGATTATCTCAATTTTGGCTAAAAGAATTGACAAAATCCTACACACTGTCTTTAAATAGTGAACTATAAACTTAAATAACCTAATTTATTTTTGAATGAAGTGAACTTTGAACTAGTTCTTATGCGGAGTTAAGTACTGTGCAGTAGAATTGAGTATAAAAATTTTTTTTTACTTCCCCGCTCCCCTCTCAAGACATTTTCATGTTTCTGATTGGCAAACATGACAGAAGTCATTGCTTGTGGGTCACTGTCTTTTCWTTCAATCTACACAGTAATGTTATTTGTCTTGACTGTAAATAGCAGCATTTTGAATCTTTTCTTGTTTTGGTTAAAGTCAAGTAGAGAACTTGACTGTTATCTTCTGTTTGCCTGCATTTTGTGTGACATAATTAGAGATGTAGCTCATCAATCGCAAGCTGTTTTAGGAAGATTTTGTTTGGCGTCATGTTTGTTGGATCCAGAGCACACGAGCAGAAAGCTGGGCTGAGATCGGCAAGATACGCTAAAAAAAACAGATGTAATGGATTTAACAAAAAAAGTCAACTGGTTACACTCTACTGCACTCAGTAAAGGTAACGCATTTACTTTACAATTACTTACAAGTAAAGTATWTTTTTTATTAAATCAACTACATCTGTTTTTTGAGTGAAGTGAAAGAAACTAACAAAAGCAGTTTACAGTTTGGCATCTGAGCTTTTGGTGTGTAAGGATTGCTTTTTAGAAATGTAATTACTTGAAACTCTTGAAATATTTAAGATCAACATTTTATGACAAAAATATTTGACCCCTTCACTATAAACCTGTTTTGATTTTATGCTTTTAGATTTATTTGGAGATTATTTTGTAGATGTGTTCCATGGTTGTTTCCAACGATGGCGTTCAACTTATGCCAAGACATACAGTCATTAAAATCTACGTTGAACTCTGTAAGTCAGATCCTCAAACTGTACAGTATGTAACCTTTGAAATGCAAGTAGTCCAAAGTTGAAACCAAGTAAGAAGTAAAAATTTATTGTGAGGTTTCTTGAAAATATGAACGTTTGAAAAGCCAAAGAATATAAAACGATAACGACTAGGCCTTGAAAATGAAACGGTGTCAAGTATTGGTGACAAAGTGGGGGGCACAGTCAGCAGTCTGAGTGATGATATATGCCGTAAACCAGTAATGAATCACCATTTCCAAATCACCAACCCAATTTAAATGAAACGGTTGCAGAATGACAAATAAGAACAGGGTAATTGACCGAAACCTAAATTGGAGCGCTTGAGAGTGACAGAACATACTTCCCCTAAGTCACTTGCCAGCACTCTTTTCACACCTCAGAACTCCAACTTCCACCAAATCTACCCTCTAAACTGTAACTAATCATCTCTGCAGCCTTATTTGTTGGCTGTACAGCAAGGTTCCAGTAATGTAAGGGTAGTGGCTGAGGAAACCATGCCAAAGAGACAGGATATTAAAGACAATGGAAACATTTTGCCATCCCCAGTGGACTCGTTCTCTGTGTATAATTTCAAACAAGCCGACTCGCCCTGCATTACTATTTATTATTTATTTCCATACCTCAAAACTTGTGTGTAAAATATAAAAAAAGTATTGAAAAATCTGTTTTTGTACTTCTTGTACTGCAACAGTGTTTCAGGGTGAGGTGCAGAGAGACACTACTAACCTGCTGGCTCCTCTGTGCTGCTCACCACAGCTGTCGGGTTGACCAAAGGGATTTCTGAAACACACAAAAGTAATGCAAATTTAACCCATGGGTATGAATGTGAACCCATACGTTTTTCAAACAACCACAAAAGGATTTGGCTGCATGTCAATGACTAAATCTATATACCCACAAAATATAAACATTTGCATCCAGAGAAAGAAAACAGTGTCGCTGGCAATAAAGATCTTCAGACTCACCCGGGAAGCAGGGCTGGACGGTGACATATGTTTGTCAATTACGTAAATGAAAACACATGGGGCTTTCTCAGATAAACTCTAACTGACATGATGCCTTATTGCTAGTGAGTGGGAAGAGTTATGCATGCGATAGACTAACGAGGTATGGTTTCAGTGTGACCTTTTTCCTATTTTTCAGTCAAATGAAGTAAATGCAGTTCAGAGTTAACTGCCAATTCAGGTTTTAGATTTGAATCCGCTCAAACACATTTAAGTGTGAAGTCAAAACTTGAAAAGTGGCAGCACTCCATTAGTCTTGGGCTCCCATGGCAGACGTTGGGTTAGCTGCACTACTCTGTAATCTTCATGCTAGTATGTAGAGACAGATGGGCAGATGGCAAAGGGGTCAATTTTGTTTGGATCGTCTTGAGACAGATGCAGATTTCATGTGCCGTGCCCGCTGGCTACACTAAAAATTGCCTTGTGGAATTCCTCCAGGACCCCTGCTTTAATCGCATGCAGCTTTCTAATACAAACGCTAATGCTAATAGCGTGCCCTCTGCTTTTTTATTTTTATTTTTTTTTACCACAAATAGAATTTACTGGAACGCCAACTTAGCATCCACCCAGAGGATCTGATTTTGATTGGATTTGGAGGTTGAAGGTTTCACATCGATAGAGTGGGAGTGTGTTGGCAGAAGGGGGAGCTTTCTTGAAAGCTGTTTTGAGGCAAACGCAGCAGTTGTCTCCCCCTCTAAAATTATGGACACCCTGCCAACAAAAACAAACAAGGGCACAGAGGATTTGGGGAGGCTGGCGCAGCTGCTGGAAGCCACTCTTGAGTCCGTGTGCCCTCATGGCCACATCTTGGGGAAGATAGACAGATGATGAAAGGGATCGTTTAAATGTGGGCTGCTGCCATCACACTAATTGGCTGCTTAATGGGCTTATCTTCCGTCCTGGGGAAGATGAGCCTCAGGAGGATGTATTATACTCACCATGAGGCTATATACTTGCACACACACACAAACAAACACACACACAGTGGTCATTAACAGCATTTGCATTGCTTTTAAAAGGTGCACACACTTTTGTTCTTCTTAGACAGACCAGAGGCATTCAGATCTATGTTGTGCTTGGCCATCCATGACCACAGTTGTCCTTTCCCTTTTACCCATCTACCATCTGCTCCAGGGCTGCATGTGAGAAAACCAACACGGCACCATGTGGCACAGAATGGTCATGCTAGCTGTAGCACTTGGTGGCATGGATTAGATTTTGTTGAGGCTATCTTGTGGCACACAGCATGATGGAGAGCTGCCCGCTCTTACAAATGGCTGAATGTCGTTACAGGGTCATTGATAAAAATCTGTAACCATAAAGAGTTCTATTCTTTTTTTTGTCCTTTTCTATCATGTTGGTCTCGACTGTGGAACGTGTCCCTTTATTTCCATCCTAAATAAATAAATAAATCACTGGAAARCACAAACCCAAAGTGAATCATCTACGCTTAACATGCATGTTGTATCTGTGTGGGCTTGTCTGCGTTAAACACTCACTGATGCAGGGGGCCACAGGCGAGCGGCTCTGCTGGTAGCCCTTGGCACAGCGGTTGCAGGTAATGCCGGTGACGCCGTCCTTGCAGGGACATTGGCCTGTGGTCTGGTTGCACGTCTTGCCTGCTGCGCCSACAGGGTGACAGTCACAAGCTGGGGGTGGGGGGCAGGTTTGAAGGGGGAGGGAAAGGTGTTGGTWTGGGAGAGAGGTGAAAAAAAGATGAGACTCAACTTGTTTGAACTTGTTGCAAAAAGGAAGCAGAAGATGTTGRCGTGTTAAACACTGATTTAAAGCAGGATTCTAAGTTCTGATATSATCTTGTTCTTTTTAAGATTCGAACACATTAGAGCCATTTAATTAGTTTAAAAAAGTTTTTGTGCTTTTAACTTTTTGAATATTGTGAAATGGAACAGGTTTCTTTTTCCATGTGTGTTTAAGACTACAATAGTAGAGTTATCTTTTATGCCTGGTTCACAGTACAAAATTTTAAAATATTCAGCTGATTTTCAAAGACTGGAAGACCCCACACACGATGATAAAAAAATCATAGATATGACAGGTTTTGTCCTACAGTGTTGTGTGCACACACACACAGCTAAAGATAACACACAATACACAAACAGATTTCACTCACAAACATTCAGATGTCAGACGAGAAATCTCGCGAGACTTCTTGAGATCAAACGTGAGTTCAGAGTAAATAAACATGGCAGACAAGGAAGAAGCAATGACCATAGTTTGTGGACTATTTTTAACAGAAAAAAATTAATGGACTTCTCTGACGTCCACCGGACTGGAGCCCCGCACTGTGGCAGTCGTTTTGTCTTCTTTATTTTTTATTCCACTCTGTGTTTCTGTCACCTCACTTTCTCACTGGCTACACATCACATTCAACATGCTGTGTGCTCATTTGTCCGCAGGGGACATCACATTTGCTGCATATCGGGCCAAGACAATCCAACGTGTTGAATATCCTCAATTTGAAGTTAAGCGTGGTCCCGACGCCTTTCCAAGCAAAGTAGATCACTCCTAACACACTGCACATGGCAGACATATCTCCTAACATGATCATTAGAGTCATGAGGATAATCGGGGCATCGTTAAGATTTTCAGGTCAAAATGGGACCAAAATGGACACAGTTATTTTGCCGTTTGAACCAGGCATTATTCAGAGTCCTCTCCAACACATACTATAAGCACTAATTGATCAAGAAAGCTTTGATTATAAAGTCTGACTATAAAGCAGTGGGCTATATGCATTCTTTCAAATAATCCTAGTTTAATTTATGAATGAAAACCAATAAGGGAAAAGTAAAAAAAAGAGTTTAAAGTGAGTGATGCCTTTAGGAAACCTAAGCCTAATTATATGCACTCATATATACTTTTTTCCACCTAAACACTGTGTGCCTATCTGGTGACACACTCTGTGCTATTTCAACACTTCCCGAAAGCTCAGTCAGTGCCCAGTAAATGCCAAAAGCAACAAGCAATGCTCCGGTCACCTTACTTTGGCAAAGCTTTTATGAGTTTTGCTGGTTCTGGACAATTTATTTAACCAAAATGGGTCTATTTTGGCATCCAAAAGCTGTTACATACGAGATCTGGAGTGTTGGTTTGAAGCTCTTTGACAACTATTTACATGAATGTGGAGAGGATGACAGGAAGAGGGTGAGGGCTGCAGTGAGAACTRAAGGAGTGGACGTGAGAGATGGATCCAAACGCAGACTCAGCTCATAAACAACGGTCAACTCCAGCTTTGCCAGAAAATGCATAAACTTGATCTTTAAGCAATAAACACAAACTTACTGTTTCTCTTTAATCTAGACATACATCAGTGTCACAAAAAAAAAACTAATTTAGGATTTTTACATCCACTTGCTTTTCTGGAGAAATGACCTGATGCTACAAGTTTGTCTTGAACAATAATGTCAAAGACTCGGCAATGAATAGAATCCAGAAAAATGAAAAACTCTGCCTGCTCCCTCACTGTGAAAGTAATTTCTTGGAACATACACTTGTACAAAAGCACCAATGTAAACTTGTCACTGTTCAAGTTGATCAAGATTTCAGAGATTAAATTTTGGGGGAAATCCCTGCAGCTTGACAGTGACAGATACAGTACATTTTGCCAGAGAGAGGCAGCTGCAAACATGCCACAGTTTCATCCCACCACCTGACAAAAGGTGTTCATATGTGCCTCATATTTTACTTTTTAGCTGTGACAACAAAGCAGAAGCCCATACCACCTGTTGAATGGACAAGAGGAGAGTGTAAATGAAACTGACCCAAGGGGTAATCATGTGCATCTGGCGTTGAGGCATGGAAAGATTATCTACAGCTCAGATGTCAAGACAACACTTTTTTTGTTGCTTTTTCCGGAAAGGCTAACCTGTTCAGAAGTGTGGAGGTGAACAGAAGGGTCATGCTTCAAGATTAGGGATAAATCTCTTTCCTCATACACATGTGGGCTCTGATGAACCTGAACTATTGATCACACACAAAAAAATCTGTTTCTACTCTTAAAGTATTATGGATCCCCATAAAAATTCCACTTTTATTGTGAAGTAAAAATGAGATCATAATATATCACAACTTTACAGTTTTTTTTTAACATGGCGATTCAAAATCTGTTAGATCTTAAGGACATCTTGGGCAATGTCTTCTTCAGGTCATCCCACAATTTTTCAATGAAATGTATGACTAGACTCTGGTTAAAACATTCCAAAAATTAAGCTTCCTCCTGGTGATGCCATTTTAAAAACACTGGAATGATGGTGGTTACTACAACCCCAATTTCAATGAAATTGGGACATTGTGTTAAACAAATAAAATAGAATATGATTTGTCTTTTTTGTAAACCTATTTTCAATTGAATACACCACAAAGAAAGACATTTAATGTTCAAACAAATAAACTTTGTTTTTATTTTTTTGCAAATGTTCACTCATTTGGAATTGGATGCTTGCAACACATTGTAAAAAAGCTGGGAAAGAGACAACAAGCAAATGACTGGGAAATTTTGGTTAACTTCACAGGTGAACAGGTTTATTGGAAACAGGTGAATGTCATGATTGGGTATAAATGCAGCATGAAAGGCTGTCGTTCACAAGCAAAGATTGGGAAAGGTTCACCACTTTGTGAACAACTGTGTGAGCATATAGTGCAACAGTTTAAAGGGATCCATGATGAGTTGTAACATTAGACTTTATTTAATAAACACATATTTTAACTGTAAAATAAAGACTGTAAAAATACTGCAGGCTGTTTATTTTTTATAATTTTTAAACTAAAATTTTAAAACTATATTACAGATGGGGCTATTTTATTTACACGCAAAGCATTTTGAGTAAATGATGACGTKGATAGGTCCTCGGTGYGAGGCTGCTAGCGAGCTATATCYACCCTGAAGGTTAATCTTGGACAATATCTGATCGACTCTTTTAAATGAAACCAGAGAGTGTTGACAGAGCTGTTTTTGGAACCTGTTGCAGGCATCAAATTCAAAACTAGTGAATATTTGAAAAAAAAATCAATTTGAACTTTAAACATCTTGTCTTCGTAGTTTATTTAAATTAATGTTTTGAAAAGGATTTGCAGTTTGTTTCTATTTTATATTTTACCTATGTTTATCAAATCATTAAATTCTGTTTTATTTATGTTTTACCCAATGTCTCAACTTTATTGGTGTTGGGGTTGAATTCTCTTCAGCTTTTCTAGTAGACATSTGAAGATTTGGGCTTAAAATAAAAATATTAGAAACTTTTCATCCTTTCTAGTATATCCTATTTATTGTGATTGAACCCCAGTTCCAGCTACAATAAAAAGCAACCCCACAGCTTGATGCTGCCACCACCATGTTTCAGGATGCTTGTTCTTTTTCTGCACCATATTTTCTGCACCATATTTTTTGGATTTGTGAAATAGGACATTTTGGGCATGCTTTTGTGAGACTTGATTTGTTTGTCGCAATATTATTTTTCCCCCCATTTAAGCAAAGGTTTCCTCTCCACACGTCCAGACATGACTGATAAAAACAGGAGATTGTTGTCCCATGTACCATCAGTACCTGCAGGCCTCTTGGCTGCCATCCTAAACAGTACTGTCTGTAGACTTTGCAACAATTTAGGAGGGAGGTCCAATTCTCTATAATGACTCCTTGATGACCATCTTCCCTGTGCTCTATTAGTATCTAATGCTGAGGATTTTTTCTTCCTGTAACCTTCTCCTGACTAATTCCTTGTAACAATAAGCTCCTATTGATGCTTTGGGAATTACTGTGAATTATGGATTTAACTGCAAGGATGCAACTGAGTAAATGTCAACAATGTCCTGCGAGGACAACTGAACTTTATTTCAGATTGATCAACAACATTACCTGATGGCAGGTGTGTTCCCAAAAGAACAAAGGCAGTCATTAAATCAGAAGGTGCATCGACAAACTATTAGTTTAAAGGTGTGCCAACATATGCAATTGACTTATTGCATCTGTTTGTTTTTCCATAGTTTCTCCCWACTGCTAAACTCCCCACAGCTCTCAATAAATTATACAAGATTTATGTTACAGTAAAGGTGGAAAATATTACAAATGATTTATCATACCCACAGAGCAGACAGGTGTGGGCCAGGTCTGATGTTAAACTGGTACTGCTGGCGAACTACTGGCATGTGGGCAGGTGTAGCAATGATGACATCACTTTTAAGATGGCATGCTACAACTGGCCCAGTTGTGGTTTGGTTTATGTGGTGCTCGCCAATGCATGGACCACCTTTAGCCCACCAAAGGGCCGCCATTCTTGGTGGTATCTGGGCCGAGTATTGGTGCCTTGTGTAGACCAGAACTGGACCAGATACATTTTACCACATAGGTAGTTTTTTAAGCCCTGTGATGGACTTRATACCTGTCCAGGATGTACCCCGCCCCCTGCACTGACTGCTAGATATGGGCACCAGTGACCTCCGTGACCCTGAAAGGAAGAAATGAGTATATATGATGGATGGATGGATAGATGGATGGTTTTATTTATTTACATTACAAAACCCTGGATTTTACAGTCTTTTGTTTTGGTTTATAGACTCTCTACCATAGATGGTCCTTTTTTTTCCTCAACCTAACATCCGCCTTCATCAAGCCGAGGTTAAGCTTGTATTAATAAACTCCAACAGAACCATGAGGGACATTTCTGTCATTCCTTGAGTTTGTCTTTCATAACAAAACCCAACTGATTAATGTGTTAAAACACCCGTCTGTATCAGCAGTGAACCGTTTTTTTCCCATAAGTTGATAATTCATAACTGGGTTTTTAAGCACAAAAGTTGAATCCAAAATGATTCAGACTTTCTGTTTAATCTCCTCCTAAAGTGGTTAGTTTAAAGCACATGCGGGATGTACCCATGTTATTGGATCCTGTCAGATACTCCAATGCTTTTAGTCAATCATGCCTGCTGTGACATGTGGCAAAGCACTGATGACCCGGTGTTCCTGCACTGATCTCAGAGTAGCACAGAGGTATCTACCGGGTCAGCATAAACAGAYCTGAGTTATGGTAGACATTCTCACTTCTCCTCTAAACAGACACCGATGGTTTAAAGACTTCAATCATTTCTGTCAGTGTTCACATTGTTCAGTAAACAGGCAATGACTGCCTGCGTTTGGAGGGGGTAGAAGGGGGAACGGGGATGGGGTGGGGGATGGTTGGGTGTCACTCTCCAGCCCCAGCTTTCTTCCTCCAAACTGTTTGTCTGAAGTTTTATGTGCAGGGGGCTAGAGCCAGTTAAGAAGCTGTAAAAATGTCCTCAGATGTTGATGACTTTTCAAGCCTGTGTGACTGCAGATGTGACGGACACCAGTGCTTTGGCAGTTGTCATTCTTCAGCATGGCTTTGCACAGATTATAGTTGAAAAATGTTGACGAACATTAGCACACGTCAGTTTTTGTGACAATGATTGCCTTTTTTAAATGGTGTAGGTAAATGTTTACTTTAAAGAAAAACAAGGAGTAAAACATTTAATTTCAACTTCCTTATATTTAGCATTGAAGTGAGACAAAGTGAAGTTTAAACACTATTTCAGGAATGAGTCCAAGTCCCCAAAAAACAGCCATGCTGTTTTTCCCTTTGCTTCAATGGAACAGGAAACACTCTGTTTATTACTCACTGTGATGGAAAGTAGGATATAATGTTATTACCATGTTTGTTTGTTTGTCTTGATTTTAACTTGACTCTTAAAAAATGCAATGACTAACTTGTAGAGTTAACCTCATGCATGACGGCCAAAACAGTTAATCAGTCTTGGCAAAAATCATCTGTATTTGAGCAATCTGTTCAAAACTTTAGTATCAACGTCTGTAAAATATTTCTGTACTTGTGAATAAATTCTAATGAAACTTTCATAACTACTTTAAAATATAATCTTGAGGGACTTTCATCTCTAAACTTGTGCCAAAAAAGGGGAAAAATATCTTCCTACATATTTTTTTTTCTCAATTGAGTCAATCGGCACATTAGGGATCAGGGTATTTTAACTGAAAATCAGGAAATCTTCAGATTAACTTGAGCAATTTATCTACATTGCACAAGGTGTGTATTTTGATTKTTGACACACTCCTCCGTGTGTTTTTAGACACCTTTCCAGGCTAAGATTGATTGAAAGCAGGCCCAAACCATTTATTCTCTTGAGTCTGCATCACCCCCACACATCCCCTCCTCTCTCTCTCTTTCCCGTGGAAAACACCTGCATTTTATTGACCATTTCCAGCATGTTGCCCTCTATGGTCAAACCTCTGACTTCAATCATGATCTGGAAACATGAGTTAATAAAAACTTAGAAGTGAGCAAGAGTTGAAGGATGAAATAACGTGAGAGGGGAAAAAACAAAGGTGCTAAAACGTTTGATTGTGAGTCATGGTGAAAAAAGCCAGAAGTCCAGGGGTTTGTTGGATTATGAAACATCTGTGGAGATGGAGATAAAACAAAAAAAAAAAAATAATAGTGTCGTTCAAAGGGCGTGGAACTGTTCTGATCAATAAGTCGGTCTTCCCAGCAGAAGCTTTTGCTATGTTGACTTTTATTTCACTTGGCCTTTGTGACAAAAAGTGTTTAAACTGTTTATCACAATCTGTGTGTTTTTACATAGTCAGTTTTGGAGACATTGAGCTAAGGTTTGGCGTCAGTAGCTGAGCCTCATTCACCACTTTATACAACCCAAATGAACATGCAAGTTACAACTTTGCTTATAATTTTTGGAGTCAACCTTGTTAACCGGTTATCTCCTGAACCATTGAAAGAATTTTAACGAAACCTTCTGAAACATTAAATGAATGTAAACCTTTTGGAGTCAAACAATTTCAAGATGGCTACAGGTGATCAATGTTAGCCAGCAACAAAAACAAAAAAGCTTTGAGTCAGTCAATTTTACAACTATTTTGCCAAAATATTTTGTTAGTAACCAAAAGTCATTAACTCACTAAAGGACATCCTGCATTCTTACCAATTGAATAATATTAAGCTCAAATTTGATGTAATAGTGGCTGAGATGTATACACAACAGCTCTCATGAGATCTCACATTGTGCATAACAAAATGTTAAGGTTTGACCAAAACAGACTCCATTCTTAAAAATGAGCTCATTTTAAAACTTTGACGATAGGTATTCCTTCAACGATTGCTTGGCTTCCAATCCTCAGAATATTTTTATTCTACTRAAAGATCAAGTGGATTGTCGTGAAGTTTTTTGCCACTGGAAGACGGATGAAAGCTCAGTGCTGTTAACGTGGATAACTGTGGCCTGATATCATGCCATACCTAACCTCCCAGGGTTGGGTTACAGTTTGTGYTGGTCCTAGAGGGAAAACTGAGCAGAAAGCCAGAAACAGATTCTTGCCGTGGAATTCCAACCGAACGACCTGAACAGCTACAGTATGTGAGTTGGCGACTCTCACAGAAGCTGCCTTTTTTTTTAAAGCATTTTTTTTTACCTGAAATGGGTGAGACACATTTCTCCTATGCTATTTATTTACCTTTTTATCCCCCTGAGCAACAACTACAGGAGAGTGGTGTTATTTTTGCAATCCCTCCAGTAGAATATCTGACTAAAACATAGTTACTGTGAATGTGAAATATTAAAATACTAGTGTGGGGCTATGGGGAGGGGGCAATTTGACGGAACAGCCAGAAAAGCTTCAGGCATAGTATCAGTTTAACTCTCTTTGCTATGGTATGCCAAATAAGACATGCTATTCATTTTTTTAATGTTACCACAACTGCAGATGTTTTCTATTAAACCTCACTGTCTTGTTTTTTATACACTTTCCGTATTGACATGATTACCGGAGCATTAATGAAGGTTAAAACAGCTCCTTTGGCTTTTGACAAAAAGTAAGAATCTGATGCAAAACCCAGCTCTTCTAGTTTGTTACCTTTGCAGGCTCGTCTGTGAGTGATCGGCTGAAGCATGTCTCTGTAGAAGCCCTCCTTGCAGTAGTGACAGTGACGGCCGGCCGTGTTGTGACGGCAGTTCATGCAAACTCCTCCGCTTTTCCTGCCCGAAAGCTTGTACAACTCCATGTTGAATCGACAGCGACGGGCATGCAGGTTGCAGTTGCATGCTGCGGACAAAGACAAAAGAGGTTTTTTTTTAATTACCACTAATGATTTAAGCTTAATACAAATGTAGAGTTTGCAGGTGTTAACCAAATGCAAGTCAGCCCACAACAATTTCACTTTTACAATGTAGTAAAACACATGTTCCCTGCGATGTATATCACTGGAGAGCAGGGAGAGATTTTCCAGTAAAGCAGTATAATGGTGARCAGTTTATAATCTGTGCTTGGCTGCCGTTCCACAGATCATCAATCAAAACTTCTATTTGCAGACCTCATTTTCTCCCATTTCATAATTAATAAATCCAGCCTCTTTCAGCCCATTAGATATTAATCTCTAGTAAGAGAGAGACATTAATTTCATGAATCAATGATGAGAAAAGACTGTAAGATCTAAAAAGATAAAGGAGTGGGCTCCAGCTAGCGGTCCTCTTAATGAGGCGAGCAAGACTAAATGTGATTAGGGGCTTATGGTGCCCCTCAGTTTCACTTCAAACCCAAGTAGTTTCTTGGTGTCACCTTGGCCTGAAAGTCTTTCCATTGGAGGGGAAAAAAAACCCTCTGCTCACTGTGTTTGCAGGTTTGCATTGAAGTTGTCGACTGTGAAACCCACCACTGTCRTTTGCGTGAAAGAGTTTGATCCAGACCCCCGAGCTGCTTGAATCAGTCATATCTGGGACYGAACATTTGGCCACAGCTTCAAAGACGACCACTGCAGAGCTTAGYTTAAGCTTCGAGTTCTTCACAGATAAATTGGAAAGTAGTAAACAATCGCTGAGTCTACGAGCAAAAATGTCAACAACTGAGGCGGAGGTGGATTACTAGGTGATCTGAAACAAAGCTGCTATTAGTTAACGTGAGTCAGAAGGGAGAGTGTCAGAGGAAATAAATTTCAGTAACGGTGAATGTCAAAAATTGAATAAGACACAACAGAGAGGGCTAAGTGAAGACAGACTGAGTACCTGGAGGCTTTTAAAGATGTCTTTKTGTGTGGCTTTTTGTTCACTAAAGAGAATTTAGTGAGAGGAAAAACTAAAACTGACTGCAATAAGTGAGATGTTTTAGACTTCTTGTCGTTCTCACACATAAATCAAATAAACAATTTGTTATTAGCAATAAGTGTATATAATGTTTGTTTTTTAAATTAAAGTTAGATGATAAAATTATCACCTGTCTCTGGAGCCAGTGCAAGAAAATAGCCAAGTTTTTATCAGATATTTGGAATATCCATCCATCCATCCATCCATCCATCCATCCGTAGGAAAATATGCGTTGTTCAAAATGGTATGTCCGAATAAACAGGAATCCGCTGGATTTCTTCTTAAAACTTTATTCTCACTGTTCTGACTCCAGTCAGGTTCATAGTACAGCACACAGTCCTCAAGACCTTGGGCTGAATCAAAACAGACAAGAGCTCTACTCTGAGCAGACACTCTGCAAAACACTAAACTTCTCTTTACTATAATAATGAATTGACCTTATAATGTACATTTCTTCCTGGTTACACCCTTGGTGGTGTTACCTTTTACGTCAGATGTCAGAACGTAACTCATTTTGTTTAGGCTAAAAGAAAAAACACATAAGACACACCAACTCTTATTCTGTTATGGCCTTAAAGTTGCAATGATCAGAAAGTATAAAATATAATACTGATCCATCCATCCATCCATCCATCCAGCCATCCATCCATCCATCCATCAACTACTTAAACTGTGCATTGATCAGAGGCAACATGTCCATGAGACATGGGCAACAATTCAGAGTTTCACTCTTTAGATCTTCCTGGAGGATCTCAAGGTGTTCAGTGACTCGTCACAAAAGCATATATTGATAAATTTACTAACTTCTATGAAACAACAAAACTGTATGTCTCAAAAATAGTTTTTTCCCCCTCTGCCCAGATTTGACAATTCCAACATGCCACTCCTGAGGTGGATCATCTTTCTGCASCAGTCAGGTGGTAGTACCAATATTACAAAGACAAACATAAAACAAGTGACAGTCTTTCTTCCTGTTATAATACAAGCAATAATATGTGTGTGTAAGGGTATATAATTACACTTAAAGTAAAGCCTGGCACCTGGTTGGAAAAGAGGCCCCCTTTTCCTTATTGTAGACTCTGGAAAGTAGAAAAAGTTTGGGGGGCAAGGGGGCACATTCCCAGACTGTTTCGCCTATTCCRTCTGGTTATTACGTGGTCCAATTTGTATGGAATTTTGCTATTAATGAAGCGCTGTTTTATGTATAAATTCATATCAAGGCAGCACTGTTTGTGTAGCGACACAGCTGGATTTTCTTTGTTCTGAAGATCAGAACTGACCCTTGATCCGGAGAACACTACAAAGTAGATGAGTGGGTGCTTTCAAGATACTGAAAAAAAAGCTGAGTTCAAAACTTCAAATCTGCAGTGTCCTTATGAAGAAAGATATGGTTGATCCTCAATTTAACAAGCAAAGCACACACTCGGCAACACATTAGCAGTTTAATTGGTTCAACATCTGTGCACATTTGTGCCTATGCATGTGAGCAACTCAAACAGCCTGTCTGACTTCCTCTTGTAGACATATGACAAAAAACACACCAGCTACGAAGCATTTCCAAAGTTATGCAGGTCGGGGACCGTGGTCACKATCAAGCATCTCATACACACACGCAGCTGTGAGCAGTTGTGTCCATTAACACCTTGTAGGAGGAACATGAAAGCAGTGGATCACATTTTCGCAACGGCGGTCGCCTTCACATGGCATCTTCTTGGCTTACAGCTCTGTAATGAGATCAGTCAGCAAAGTACGAACTTAGAACAGATACRTGCAAGTGAGGAGGATATAAAGAAAGCTGATAGAAAATAAGTTAAAATTATTTAACATGTATGTGATGGCTTTAACACCAGAAGTTTTGTGACTAWCAAAGAATTAKAAAATGAGAGAATTGGTGTAAAAARCAGYGTAGAATCAGTGGAAAAAGAGAAAACATGATTGTTGCAGAACAAAAAAATGCAAGAGACACATCATTAAAGAAGAATGGTTGTGAAAAAGGTGTGTGTGGCTTTYAGTTTCTCCCCCATGTGTGATTAGCTCCAGCTCAGAGCTCCAGATGCCCAAAGAGCCTGGAATGTTTATGGTTTTGTTTTGAAGTGTTTGTGGCCCCCTACTTCTCAACAACCTGCCCCACTCCAAACTCAACCACAATGGGCTAAGTGGGGGATAACYATCCAATGCTTAAAACTGTTTTCCCTTCAATATTTGACACATTAAAGCATCAATATGAGTCTTGAAAGAAGGGAAAGGATTTTTTTTTGTGGGGAGGGGGGAGCTGGGGGGGGGGTGTAAAGTCAGCAGAGACTCCCAGGTCTTCAAAGGAGCGCAGTAACTTCATGGTTCAGAGTCCAATTCAAAGATGCGTAAAGCTGGTTTCTCACGTTGTCGTGGAAATCGGACAACAAACACAAGCTACAGACTTGGCAAAAGGAGGGATGCTGAGACAAAAACGAAAGGAGGGGATGAAGGGAGAGGAACTTCTTGGAAAATATGAGGAAAGGACTGTTATACAACCTTGTCATCAAATCGACATTGCCAAATGCAAATTTTGGTGGAAAAGCTTTGTTTTTTACTGAATTACATTTGCATTACTTTTTTTTTTTACTGTTTGCATGCAACTTCCTGGTTTTTGTTGTTCCAAAAACCTTTTGCTTTACACACTTCAAATCTTTCAAGGAGAGTGTGCTGGAAGTAAAACGAGGTTTTCTGTTTCACCTGTAATAACAGGTGCCTCTGACAGAGTTCCACGGCAGGATCTGTCAAGTATGCTTTGACAAATTGGCTCTTAAATACTATTCTCAACAAATAAAACACAAGTGTGTTCGTGAAGTGCATTGCTCTCCGCCCCCCACTCCGTGTGTCAGGGATAAATCTAACCTCCATTCTCCTCCAGCTTGAACAAAGCCAAACCGGTAAGCACAGCCAATTGATTTTGGATGCCTGTGCAAAACCCAAATCCCATGTCTAAAATTGGTCCTTGAAAATTGGAGGGCTCATACCACCACCTTTCCCCCCTTGGCTTGGGCTGCGGGCCAGACGTGCTGCTGCCCCCCACCCCCGCGCCCCCTTTGGGTACTCACTGCGCCTGGCCAAACAGGCTCTGCTACAGTATGTGGGCTCCTGCCGTGGTGTGTGTGGGCTGGGTTCCACCTGGCTGCTCCAGCCACCTGCTCAGGGCACCAAGGGGAACACCCGGTTAATTAGCTCCTCATTATAGCCAAAGCAGACTGGGGGAAAGGGGCACACACACACATGCATGCACCCATAGGGGATCTCTTCAAGAGGTAGCAACCTCACAGAATGACTTCAGTAAATGACTGAGGGCACAAAAAAAGTGTAAACAGAGTCTCAAAAGCATGCAAACTCTGCAGGTTCTGTTGGCTCTAATGAGCTGTAGACAACAAGCAGAGACAAAGATTTAAGTTCTCGGAGAGGAGCAACACCAATCTACAAGCCTGCTGGGTGTTTGGACTGCTTCTCTGTAACAAAACCAATTCAGGTCCACTTCTCGTCCACACAGGAACTTCTTTGATTTGTAGCTTTTCTAGCTTTGACACCACCAACCAGCCCCCCCCACTTTTTTTTTTTACTGTTTTTTTGTGGTTAGCCTCATACTACGAGGCTATGAGGCTTAAGAGCATAGCTCTTGGGAGCGCTTTTAAAATCAAAAGTTTTCCTTTTCAATTTTTTTATTTTGTTGCTCCATCTTTTCTGATCTCAATAGTCTCCTCCATCTACCATTTTTCTTTTTATGGCATCAAGAAGGTAAAGATTTAACAAGATTTTACCAGAGGGTTTCCAGGTTGGGGAACCTGATGCCGGCGAAGAGTCGAGCTCCTCTCACTGGTCCACTTCACTTCCTCAAATTTAAAACTTATTTCTTGTCCATTGCATCTGCTTTCTGTCTGTTTTCTTTTTATTTATTTATTTTTCTACAGGAAAAATCCTGCCATCAGACATTGTGACAAAGCTTCTTGTGCTATAATGGAGACGCTGAGGTAAGAACGGTCCACTTTTACTTTTATGAGGTCCCCACAGTACAACACAAGATGGAAATAGAAAGTGACAGATGGAACATTCTGGGTAAATTTCCCAACATAGCTAAAGATGATAGCTAAAGATAACGGCAAAATGATGAAGAAAAATGTCAAAATATTCACTTAGCATTTTGTGCTAAAATAGCAAGTAAGGAAAATTCGCCAAGGGGTCTTCTGGAAAAGCATCTAAAATTCTAGAAAAACAGAAAAAGATAAAATAAAAATTGTTAGACACAAAGGGACAAATTGATTTTACAATTACATACTGGTAATATGCATTTGTGCACAAAGAAAACAAAATTTGACATTTTATGCAAACAAATATTGACTATGGCTATCTTTTAACTAGTTGATTTATGCATTTTTGTTGCTGTTTGGATAGTGGCTTATTTTTTCTTTTGGTTGATATTAGTGTTTTTTTTTTGTTTTGTTTTTTTACTTCATTAGCATCAAACCTTCCAGACTGAGTTCAGGAAAATATCTGAACATTCTGTAACTGAGAGATTATGAAATGTTTTAAGAGTTTTCTCAATCTCTGAACAAAATGGCTTTAAAATCCAACTTTTTGAAACAAGTTAAAACACTTGTCAACATGAAATTACTGGGGGACAAAAAAGTTGTTGCTCCCTGATATTGGCATTGTTTTTAACAAGTCACTGATTTATAAATTGTAGTCTGTTTAAATAATGATGACAGTGACTGTCAGCCAAGGAAAGTAACTGCCTCGCACTTACCCTTCACAAACAGAAACGTATTTTCTCCTAATAGCCTCTGAATCTGGCTGCCACCAGTAACACTGGCAGGTGGCCAAAGACCACATATTTTCTCAGGCAGTAAAGAACAGGAGCTTTGCAGCAGCATTAAAAAAGTCTGTCACTAAAACATGAAGAAATTGTCAACAGGAGAAACAGACATTAGCTAAAACAAACAAATCAAATAAAATATTGGGGGACGAGCATTTCAGGATAAAGAGTTGATCTTTGACACAAGTCAGTTCTGGACGGGGAGGAAGAGAGCGCCGGCGGTGACGGGCACCTCGGGAGGTGATTGCTACCATCTGTGGGCGAGAGTCAGTGTGGGCCTGAGAGAGCAGGGTGGGCACACTCTGCAGCTTCACCAGTTTGCTTTGGCACTGCGATGAAACGCAACATTGCTCTATTAGATTACATGTAGCTTTCACACACACACGTGTATGTGCACACACAGAGAAACACAAAGCATTTTAACCTCCCTGACATTAATGTTGTCATATGACACTTTAAAATCCCTAACGTTTGTTTCACTGTGTTCTCTTCCTGCTCGAAAGCCTTTATGGGTGGCTTTTCACGATGAGAAAAGCATCCTCAGTCCCTTGTGGGTTGGCCACGAACCAAAACTGCAACACTGACAGAGGGAATAAAGGCAAAGAGCAAAGATGCAGTACAAACCAATCACGCTGAACAAACCCTGCTGTTTTTGCCTCTCCTGCCTTTAAATCCTTAGAAGACAAACACACTCGAAACACAAAGCTTGTGCACCTCATGCTTGCTGGCTCGGCGGAGCTTCTTGGTTTCATGTTAACTAAATGTCCCAGAGGTACAATTTTAAAGAACAAACTCTGGGAATATGAAAGCACAAAAACATTATTTTTCAAGACATACTTTCCTTTGCTCAGCATGATACACTTTACAAAATATAAATATGATGCAGACACTTCAGATATGACTGTAAAAAATGTTGTTTACAGTTTGTGTGTTATGATAAATAGCTGAAATCATTTGAAGTGGGGTTCTATGGAAATGTTATGAACAACAATTATCTTACAGTTTTGAAATTTTTAGTTTCTCTTTTGTTTGGAAAAGTACATTACAGGTCCTTCTCAAAAAAATTAGCATATTGTGATAAAGTTCATTTTCTGTAATGTACTTTCATATATTGTATTTTAGATTCATTGCACACCAACTGAAGTAGTTCAAGCCTTTTTATTGTTTTAATATTGATGATTTTGGCGAAAAAAGTAAAGAAAAATCAAAAATCCCTATCAAAAAATTAGCATATCATGAATAGGTTCTCTACATGACTTATTAACCTAATCATCTGAATCAACAAATTAACTCTAAACACCTGCGAAAGATTCCTGAGGCTTTTAAAAACTCCCAGCCTGGTTCATTACTCAAAACCACAATCATGGGTAAGACTGCTGACCTGAATGCTGTCCAGAAGGCCATCACTGACACCCTCAAGCAAGAGAGTAAGACACAGACATTTCTGAACGAATAGGCTGTTCCCAGAGTGCTGTATCAAGGCACCTCAGTGGGAAGTCTGTGGGAAGGAAAAAGTGCAGCAGAAAATGCTGCACAACCAGAAGAGGTGACGGTCAGTGATGGTCTGGGGTGCCATGTCAGCTGCTGGTGTTGGTCCACTGTGTTTTATCAAGGGCAGGGTAAATGCAGCTATCAGGAGATTTTGGAGCACTTCATGCTTCCATCTGCTGAAAAGCTTTATGGAGATGAAGATTTCATTTTTCAGTATGACCTGGCACCTGCTCACAGTGCCAAAACCACTGGTAAATGGTTTACTGACCATGGTATTACTGTGCTCAATTGGCCTGCCAACTCTCCTGACCTGAACCCCAGAGAGAATCTGTGGGATATTGTGAAGAGAAAGTTGAGAGACACAAGACCCAACACTCTGCATGAGCTTAAGACACAAGACCCAGCACTCTGGATGAGCTGAAGACACAAGACCCAACACTCTGGATGAGCTGAAGACACAAGACCCAACACTCTGGATGAGCTTAAGGCCACTATCGGAGCATCCTGGGCCTCCATAACACCTCAGCAGTGCCACAGGCTGATTGCCTCCATGCCACGCCACAATGAAGCAGTCATTTCTTCAAAAGGATTCCTGACCAAGTATTGAGTGCAGAACTGAACATAATTATTTGAAGGTTTGACTTTTTTTTGTTAAAAACACTTTTCTTTTATTGGTCGGATGAAATAGGGATTTTTGATTTTTCTTTATTTTTTTGCCAAAATCATCAATATTAAAACAATAAAAGGCTTGAACTACTTCAGTTGGTGTGCAATCACCCTAAAATACATGAAAGTTTAATGTTTATCAGTACATTACAGAAAATTATGAACTTCATCACAGTATATGCTATTTTTTGAGAAGGACCTGTGGTTTTGACCAGATTGACTAGTGGCCAGTTGAAACCGTCTTAGCAGGTCATGTAAAAATATTTGCATCAGTTTTGCATCCTGCAGTTATTTATATAGATTCTGTGGTTATTTGCAAGCATAAAAGGCAGCAGCAGCAGCTAGCAGTAATATTTTTGTTGCAGCCTGGGCCACATGATTAATCGTGTAATGCAAAACTGACAGCAGTATGAAATTCATATTGACAAGAATTGATGTTCATTGTTCAGAACCGTTCCACAGAATTCCACTTCAGAAAAATCAGAATGCTGAATTTTCTTTTCACTAAAAGTCCTTAAGCTGAATCAGCTGTTGTATGCTGGTGAAGATTCTCCGTCATCCAGGTCATGATCAATCGAAAAAAAAAGGATTTCAGTTCTGAAGCTGACAAGTTTAGCATTTAAGTCATCTTGACTTGAGAAAGCTTCCTGGTGAGGAATTAGAACATCTCAAGCTTCAGAATTGCAATCCAGTTTTATTTATTCATTCATTCATTCATTCATTCATTCATTCATTCATTTATGGACTTGCGTTGTACTGCTACCCCTAAAACTGAAGCCTTGGCCTTTTAATTCAGTCTCAAGGAGCAGTAGTAAACAAAGTGTGAAACTTTTTTTAAAAGATCAATGCATCATTTCTTGCTGATTCTTTTCTATGCCACTAACTCAAACAATTGTGTTCACATTTTTAGCAAACCTACAAGTTAAACCTAGAAAATCTGAAAGAATAAAATGCACTTTATTGGAAAACTTACCCCCTCCCACTAACCCATGATAAACAAGTCTTCATGTGATATCAGTCTGTGGTGCCAAGAATGTTGGAGACCACTGCTTTAAGGAACGGGCGTACCTGAATTCACCAGCTTATCATAATATGTGGTAAGGTTAAATGTGGTTTTCTAAAGACCAAACGACCCTGCAAGGACTAAAACACACACAAAACCATCTTCTCTGTAGGCTAAGGTTGAGAAAATAAAGACTCAAGTCATGTTCTGGTTATCCAAACCATCTAACCACAAAAAAAAAAAAAAAAAAAAAAAACTGTGCCATGGTTTTAATGGTGGTGCATGAAGCAATGAGTCCATTTTCTCAAAGACCAGGTCTGAAAAATGTCTTGGCAAAATCTGCTGTTTGGCTGCAACATGGGCCTGACCTCCTCTTGCCCTTGAGATGTGGTGGGGGGGAGGGCTATTTGAAATTCTAATCAGCATCGAATGACCATCTGCGCCTTGTCATTGAAGAAAATAAAGAGAAAGAGAGGGGAGAAAAAAGGTAGCTTGCACTTCTGTGGTCTTCAGAGTTTCCAGCTCTGTCATGCAGAATCAGAGAACTTCATCTGAGCTCTGTTCCTGAGCAAGTGTTTCTGGCTAGTTTTTTTTTCTGACAACATACAGCTGCTAGATCTCAATAATTTCCCTTTGAAACCCATCTGTCAGAATCCCCTTATGTCTATCCAAAAAGCTGAACCCACCAAAGCCACAGGAAAACCTTAAAATGCAATGCAATTTCCAAACCTGATTGGCTTGTTACTCTTATACAATACTCTCATTTTAACACAACTGCTGTTTGATTAGTATGGAAGATGAGCTCTAGTAACATTTTATAGAGATACTGAACCTCATTTATACGCTTTTACAAGTTATGATCTGATTTTAAACGAGCCTCTAGAGTGAACAGGTATTTGGGTGATGGATTTAATTTCCGAGGAAACTTGTATTCTTGTGCAGAACACCACATTACTCATTGCCTTGTGGACTAAAGATGTCAAATTTCCTATTCCAAATATTCAAACGCCACTCCCAAACACGGCCGCGTAAGAACTCTCGGCTCTACAAGCAGCTCACCTGCATTTCTGGCACATCAACAAAAAAAGGGGATTTAAACAGTCTTCACATGACCTTAGTGTTTCACGCTATGAATGCATACCAGCGTGTCTGGTGCAACACTGGAAGCAGACCTGGCTTGGCTGGTCCATTAGCGATGGATGGTGTCTGGCCTCCAGTTTGTGGAGTCCCAGAGCAGTTTTCTGGACTTCCTGTGGTTGGAGTACAAATGAGGGAGAGGAAGGGCTGCAGTCAAACCAGGCCCAAGATAGCTGCATACAGAGCCAATAGCAGAGAGCTTCTGCAACACCATAAATTATCATCTACTCAGGATGTCACACCGTCGTTGACTCCATGAGAGGCCTCTTCATCTTATACGGCGACTTTGGCAGACTCTATTACGGCATGATGTAGTGTCTTGCATTTTTAAATCAACATAAAAGTATTTACATTACGGCTACGGCCATGCCAACAGAAAAGCCAACACTCCATCACAGCCAGAAACAAAATAGCTCTTATCCATCTGTTTCCTCATTCTGTCCTGTGGCCCAAACTCCGCACAGATAAATCACAGCCTCTTTCCATCGTGCCTCCCTCAATGCAAACACGCGTGCTCTTTTACGAGGCGGCCGTCTCGGACTGCTTCAGCGGGGATTTGTAAACCGACGTCTGGAGGCAGGATTCATAGAGCGGGAGGCAGCAGATGGGTGTGTGTTTGCATGGCTTGTGTCTGGAAGCAGCGCAGGAGCTTGCCAAGAGAGATGGGTATCTTGATGTGGGGCATGTCAAACATTTAGGAAAGCCCTAAAAAAATCAAAGAAACCAGTAAAAGATGGCGTTTGCTTTGTGTAGGCTAAAATGAAAGTTTTTAAAAGTGAGTTTCAAACATTTTGTGTGACCTGTTGACTCTCTGCAACTACCAGACTATCAATGTCACACTGAACGAGTCATTTCTAAAGTTAGTTGCTGAAGTCAGTTGGCTGTAACAACACTCCTGAAATGTGTTGACTCAAATAGATCATTCCAAAGATTACATTCTGAATGTTTCAATTAAATCTGTTTCATGGTTCATGAGATAATGTGGTAACAAACATATGGCAGGCAATAAAGAGGATAAACTGACAGAGACAGGGTGTGAAACCACTGCCTACTCTGAATTTCTAATTGCCCACAAACCAACTCCCCATCACCACATCCAAGCCAAACACTCTCAGGACTTTGTGGAGACTTTTGATATCAACAACTCCACAGATCTTTAACGTGCCACTTTGGCTACGTTCACATGACCGTTCCAAATGCTCAATTCCATTTTTTTTGCTCATACATCCGATTTTTAAAAATTAAACTTAATTTTGTGTAGTCCTTCCGATTTATCATTTAAATGTGACCTATCAGACTTTGATGTGAACTACTACACATCTGAAGCGACCCACATGGACAGAAAACGTGATGTCACAAGCAGGTACACAGGTTGGCGTGTGTATCAATTAAGAAGTTATTCTGCAGTCAGAAAGTTAAATGGTGGTATTGTGTGTTTTTATGTGCATAGTTTAATTCTACCACAATCAAGTCATTATGTTACCTTCAGTTATTATGAAAACGGTGTATATCAAAAATAGAAAATCTAAATGTCTTGAAATTGGCATCTGTCTCTTTAAGAACCTCCTGCCGTTTCCAACACTTCCACTTCAGCTCATCTTCACAACAATGTTTCAAGGCAGGGGTGCTCTGTGGGGCCGGAGGACAGAGCTCCAATGAAGTGCTTTGTACCATCAAGTGTTTAGGCAGGTCCATATGGCTACAACAGGAGATACACGGATTTCTCAAACACGCATGAATGAATCAAAGCAACACGATTTTGATGAGGGATTGACATAACATGATGTAAAGCTCAAAGTTGATTTTGCATGCAAAGCTCAGGTATGGATCTCATGATTGTATCAATACAGTCCAACACTAAAATTGATACCTTATGTAACTGTAGATTCTCAGTAATCCAGGACATGGTGAATTAAAAGAACAAGATGAAACTACTACTTTTCAGTAGCTGAAAATGTGTGGTAGCTTTGACAAAATCAGATATGTTTCCAATTTAGTACCACATATGAAAAAGACATGGGCCAGGTTTGAAAAATAAAATCAGCATTGTCATTAAAAAACAATTGCACATAGACAAAATATTTGATTTGGGTTGCATTTGCCTGCAGTGTGAATGTATCCTTATCACTCTTAAAAATCTAAATACCCACATCTCTGTGAGACAGTGATAAAAGATCAAGGCTTGGTCTTTAACCTCTACATGTTCAGAGTCAAGAAAGATACAAAAACCAACAGAGAGGCCAGTGCTTTTAAAACATGGTATTAAACTCCTTGTAGCAGCCTTTAAGACTTTCCTTCTGCACAGGAAATACTTTAAATGTGGTGCTGCTGAATTTCTGTAAAGACACATTTGGAACACACAACTGGGGACAACTGAGACTGATTTTTGGCTTGCCTGAATAAATGAGTATATATACAGCGTGCAAACAGCACAGAGCAATAATCGTACCACATCAGCAAAGGGAATAGGTCATTGACATTGGCCAGCAAAATGTGGGTGTTTGGTCCAGGCTTTTTGGATAGAAGTGACATACAAATCCCACAAAGAGAAAATTTACGGGAAGCAGGTACAACACATCAGAAACAGCTATGGGACATTTGAAACAGGGCGTGTGCAAGAGGCAGAAAGCACTAAGGGATTGACAGGATATTGTTACAGAAAGGAGATGTGAGTGTGTGTGAGTTTGCATGTATCTGTGAGTCAAGTAAATGAGGCATTCAAAGACACGTGCAAAGCCAAAGTGAGGTTGGCACGGGAAGTTTCAGCGTACGCGATGAGGAAAGGATGGATGTGTTGGCCATCGTGAGTCTAAAAAGGCCTTGCCTCTTTGGCTCTGTCACTCTCAGTCCCCTTTAAACAAATCTGGCCCTGTTCAGTACTAAATATGTTCTCAGGCCAGCTCACTGGGCAATTACAACATGCTAGAAAAATATACAATGTTTTTTTAATGTTTAACTTCTGCTTTTTTTTCTCCCTTGCTCTTTCTCTAGCTGTATTTCATTTCATTTAGGAGAGGTGAAAACAGGGACAGTGGTAACTAATATGACTTTATTTTCCTATGCTAACAAATTCTTCTGACAAGCAAAATTGACCTAAATTAAGTTCAACCTGTGTTTATTTGTACTAGCAGGGAAATGCTGTACAAGTACCAAAGAAACATCAACATATTAGAGTCAAAAGACAAGACTGAAATGAACTCAAAACCTTTGGGCAGTCACTCACTTGATATAAACACTAGGACACCAACAGGCTGTTATTATGCTTAACCCAATACAGAAATGATCAGTTTACAAAACTTCATGCTGAAAATGTTTTGATTATTAGCAGGCAAAAGGGGGAAAATTTTTCTTTCACTTTACCAGTTCATGCCTTGACACAAAGGTAAACGCGACTCAAAAACATTCTTGGATGTTTTAGCGGTGACTAAAGATGTTATCCTCCACTAATTGGACTTGATTGTTCAAAAGAGAACGTATTGTCCAGAAAACAATGTTCTGGTGTGAGCTTTAGATCTTAACCAATAAAACAAAAATGTTGTTGGCAAATGGAGGTAACCTACTGGTTTGTATTTAGAGACCCTACCAAAATTTGACAGCTTCATCATCATGTGGCACCACATCTGATAAAGCAACCCCATCTGCTCTGGCAACAACATTCTGTAATTATTTTACATTCAAGCATCAATTCAGCCGTTCACCTCTGCTCAGTCCTGTGCAGGAAGTTGAGGCCCATCTCCAGAGGTCATTGGCTGAGAGGCGAGGTACATCCAGCCCATCAAAAAAAAAAAAAATCATTTACCTGCCTCATTGCTCTTGTTTTTATATGACTGAACTTGTATCCTGAAAATAAGTCCAACAAGTAAAAGTGTCCCATTTGTGAATATTTCTTAATTTCTTCCATGCTTTAAGCAGATACAAGTGAAACCTGATTGAGCTGTTTTTAATCAGTTATAATTGCAGTGATGTCTGTGCAATAATTATCAAAAGAAAGTTGGGTTTAAGTTCGTTTTTCCCTAAATTTATACATATTTTCTTTGTGCATCACATACATCACAATCTCAAAAAAATAAATAAATCTGGGGGTATTTTTTTAGCCTTTCTAGCCTCATTTAAAGCACCATCATATAAGTTGCAATCCCAACAACACTGTTGAACTTGTTCAGTGCTCAGAATTAAATTTCTTTGGTTTCTGGCATCACGGAAGCACAGTGATGTCTGCAGGCTTTAAAAATAACAGAGTGACAAAAAGAAGCAAACACTTACGCAGACACTCATTGGCCTCTCGAGCGTTGGCCCTCTGCCACGGTCGGTCATAGTGAAAGGGCTTGCAACGGTCACATTCAGGCCCTTCTGTGTTGTGTTTGCAGTCACACACCAGTTTGCCCTCCTTGTCTTTCAGGCAGCGTGACGCGTGACCATTGCATTTACACCTCCCACCCACCTGGAAGTCTCCCACTGCATAGAAATACGTTGGCGACATTGAGGTCACTGCCAYTGGGTCATCATCCCTTCCTCCATTGTTGCCTCCAGACCCAAGTAGCTCCCTGGGGAGCTGTGGTCGGCTTAAAACCACGCGTATGTCGGTGACTGTGACCCAGTCTTGAAGAACCGGGCTGTTGTCAAAGTCTTTACCAGAGGGGCGTCCATCCAGAGTACTAAAAGCAATGAGACCTCCAGAAAGTGGGTACAAGTCAGTGTGGCCGTCTGTACAAAGGGCCTCCTGCTCGTTCTGTTTGGTGATGGTCGCTTTGTTGGGCCTGTTGTACATACGTCGGCATTGTGAGGAGTAAAACTGGTAGGGCATCCATGTTTTGCCRTAGTCCATGCTTTTGTATATGGCCAGAGACTCCGAGCGTGGTGAGCAGAACTGCAGGCTGACRTATGTGATCTCAAACTTTTTACCCAGGGAAAGGGTAAGAGTCACATTGTGTGGAGAGGTGTTCAGATTCTCAGACTGCCAACATGTGAGGTTGTGGGCCGAGTTGAGGTCGGTGAGGTAAGAAGCAGGGTGGGCACGGCGGGGGTCAGACGCGTCACAGATTTGGCAAGTACGCACAGAAGGACGYTCATCGCCTCGCTCCACAACACTGCAGGAGCGGGACGGAGGCCGGCCGCAGACGCTGGACACCGTCACCTCCTTACCAAAGGCAGCATTGATGAATTCAGGGATACAGCGGCGGGCTGCTCCAGTATCATCATAGCAAGGGTCTAGAGGGGTCTGCTGCCCTGCAAAGGGATTGGTGGCACTGTGGGTGGAGGCTAGGCTTACCAAGAGGAACAGGCCCAGCAGGTACCGCCAGGGTTCCCTCATCCTGCTCAAAGGGGCCTGTGCTGGAGTGGAAGTCTTATTCAGATCTTTTGTGTTTACCCACAGGAGTGTGTTAAGAATGGTTTGCTGGTGTCTCTGGAGAAACGTGTCTTTGTCTATTTTTCTCTGTGAGTTATGGAAGGAGAGCGTTGGAGCCCAGTGACCCTTTGCTCCAGTCTATCCTGCAAGACAGAAAAATAAACAGAGAGGTCAATATCACGGGCATATCTTTACCATAATAGGCTTTAAAGTAGAAAGTGACACCTAAAACGGCACCACCAAAATTTTAGCTGCCCATGAAAGGAGAATTCAATAGAATCTTTGGCACTGGACAGTTCAAAATGAATGTTTCCACTGACTAAAAGCATGTCAAAGGATAAGACATTTAGATGAGGGGCCCAAGTGAAAGGAAGGAAGTGATCATTTAGAGAGAGACATTAGTCATTGGAAGTAACTGCATCTTGAATTTCAATGCTGTCTTCTATTCAGCACTTGTATTCAGGTCAAAACTGCCCCTGCACCTTCTGGTCATGCTTGAAAAGGATAGCAGAAGCCACCCCATTATCCCCTGCGATGCGTCAAAGCAGTGAATCGCATGTGACTTGGGTCAAACCTCTACTGAAAAAGCTGGAAGAAAGAAGCCATGATGTATACAAAAACATTGAAAATATCACCTAACTTAGCTCAACTATTTTACTCAAATGTTGATCAGCAGTGACCCTAAAGTAGGGAGTATTATGTTTATTCACTGAACCAAAGATTTACCAAAAGTGATAGCTATTGAAAATTAATCTCTACATAAGAGGAATTAGCCTATGAAGCTTATAAAGAACCTTGGACTATTGTTCATCATTCAAGCTTTTTTAAGTCTTTGGGTCCAGCTAGGTACCTGGACCATTATTCATATTCTCACAGCTAGACGAGAGGCCTCACAAAGAAAAAAGATATAAGGGGTGCAGGATTTAAAGAGGCTTTTCCTTCCTTAATCCACTTTTTTATCAATGGGTGTCAAACCTAGAAGACCTTAAATTCACTAGATGAGGAGTTTAGAAGGCACCCAAACCCCATCTTGCAACATTAAATTACAATGAGCCCCACCCACCTCCACTTCACTCCCACATTCCCTTTTTAACTACAGCATCCCTCTTCATTTTAATACAACAAAAGGCTGTCTCTGTATCCACTTCACTCAAGGTCCAAACAGCTTTAAAGCCCAAGAAGAAAAGAAAGGAAAATAACAAAAGTTTTGTTCTTTTCTTGTGTGAGAGGTCCAAAGCCAGCAACCCTCAAAAGAAGAAGTGAGTGGCCTTGTAAATAGGACCACTCTTCTATGATCAAGGACTTAAGTCCAGCCATTTGGCCCATTCTCAAAGCACAGACTGGGTGTTAAAGGAAGAGAGAGTGAGAGCAGAAAGGCAGTTTGGATAAAATTTCAGCTGATTCCTACATGAGAAATTAGAAGCTTCAGTCAAACTCCTCTTACAAGATGTGTTTACCTATTTCTCCAAATGAAGCCAAAACAACAGCTATAATAATTGCACCACCATGACATATTCATTTCCATGTCTTTTGTCATTTACTGAGCCAATCTTTTTATTATAAGTGCTAACTATTTTTAACACTCTTTATTGATAAGTTATTTATGGGATCTTTTTATTTGAGAATCACAGAAATGTTAAAGGGGCAATATCATGTAAAATCAACTTTTTTGAGTTTTATATCATATTATAATGTTATACTCTCGTAAAAAACATGCCCAAAGCCTTGCTTTGACTCATGCATGCATGTTTGAGAAAACCTGCAGTGTTTTTAGGAAGCCAAGCTGAGGAGCAAAACGACAGGTGGGGACCAGAAACGCCTTTTGGTACCAGAAACGTCCCTGGGACGTGTCTTTAAGCCAAACTTCCTCATGGCAGAGCGCACCCCCTGTCCATGACTCGTGCACGTTCTCGGCAGCAACAAAGCAAACGAGTGAAACACACTACTTCTCACTCAGTGAAGCTCTTTTCAGATTAAAAATACCTTTGAGGAAATGTATTTTCAGATGCCAAATAAACTGCATCATAGCGCATGCACAAACACAGCACAGATTTTATGTATT